CCAACTACAGCCCAATTACATCTGTCTATCTATCTGGTTGATGGATTACCAGTTTCAGCATATCCGAATCCTCTGAAAGATTGTAGTTAGTTCTGACCTTAAGGATTACCTTGTAAAACCTGCATCAGCGGTTTATCAAGAGTTCGTGTCCGTGGCTGTAGAAAGTTGAACCAAGTATTTTTTTCGCTACATGGTTGTGATAGTAGAAAGGCCAGGAAGTTTTCTGTTTTTGTTCGGAAACCTCGGTATTAGAGATGTGATGACGTACGCTAGCCCTGTATGATGTTTGTCTCATTATGTGGAATGCATATTAACTGTCATTCCGTTAAGAGATAACGCAAATGAAGTCAGATACATCGAAGTGTACCTTGTGCATATCCCACGCGTATTTCTATCCTAACCCTTGCTCCCAATTCAATAGATGTTGTTTCTCCTCTGTGCCTTTCTTTTGCTTGTACGATCAATCGATATTGAATAGCAACAGTATTTCGTTTCTTTTAGTAGACGATATGGTTCCCTAACGCTGCTAACACGTGGGATAATCGACTGACATCGATCGATTCGTTACTATACAGGTTCATACTGGTTTGAACAGAGATCCTTATCTTCATATATATGATGAAGTTAAAATTGTTTGAAGTGTTCAAAATCTTCCTGGTCTCACTCTCTGGGACCATTGCTTACTCAAAACTGAATGATCATGTTTCCTCAACCATATATAACTTTTCGTTTCATATGTGGCTGTGCAGTTTCAACTTTCTGTGTGAGATATAGCGAATCATTCGCGGGGAATCACAGTTCTTATCGTACTTTCATAGAAGGCGGCTGTCTGTTGTTTTCACATCTCGGCTCACCGTTCCATCTTTGTTGCTTGTTTGTGCGGCCGATTTGTTGTTTGTTGGGCATCCATTTAATTGCCTACTGTCTTCGTTTCAGATTCGTTCCAGAAAATTTCGCTGAACTTTGCTCACAGGTACATGCGCCATTCATGACAAATCTCTATCGAGCTCCATGTATCTATCCATCCTACTACCTCGCACACAGTAACTATGTACAAAGGAGTTCATTCATTTCGATTTGTTTGTTCGGAATTTTCGTCATACGCTAGTTTTAGCTTCGTGCTTTATTGTGATTCTTCACCTCCTTGTATGTACGTGATGTTACACTTCGCCCTGATTGCTTTCATCCCGCACAGACCCCAAAACCCGCTTTAGTGAGAGAGATTTCAAATACAACCGATATTTTATGGAGATCCATCTTGCTTGACATGGCATCATATTCCAACACTTTTTCAGCAGAATATCTATAAATTAACATGCCTCCATATGAAGGGCAGATCACCTCTCTCTGCTGTAGAGTGCGTTGCCAGCACGGCACCAGACTTAATAACGCCGAATCGGTACCGGGCAAGTCTACCTTCAGCATAACAGTTATTTCGAACGATGAAACTATTTCTGCGTCGCGGAAATTTTCGATCACGGTTCAGGATTCCCGGTTTCTTACAGAAAACATTGGTCCCAAGGCGTTTGCTTCAATTCCCATTAGTAAACATGGAACTTATTTCTTCCGCTATCGACATAGATCCGCGTGTTGAACGCCACTTGGGACGGCATTCACGAGCAATGCTGCTTTTACTCAAACCCAGCAGACCCGTCTATTGGAAGGCACGTAATTTATCCGATAATTCGCTCCATGTCGTTTGGACGGCAACAACTTTTGGAATGTGCCAACTAAGGGCAAAACACAGGCGTCTAAGAAGCTGGAGAACATTCCCGAAATCCCCAGCAGCTAAAAATCTTTTTCTCGCGCATTTGGATAGACATTTTCTGTAGTTTCTGTCGAAGTTTGGCTAGGTATTGATCCATCATCTCAGCTGCATACTTACTTAAGTGTGCCTAGAGTAAAGCAGCCCCGCGCTATGCACTCCATAGTTGCTTTCTCAGGATTATTGTATGTTAAGGAGACCTCAGTAAATCATACCCGAATCGCCTTTGCAAAGTAGTTTTCCTCCAATCAAGTGAACAGTCTCTCGACAATCTAATACTCCGGACTAGTGCAACCAAACTGGCATTCTGAATAAGATCAGGGGACTGGGCAAAAATCATACGGTACCATGCGTACACATCCGTCCAACTGGGTTCTTTTATGTGTACAATTTTCCTCAGATGTAGGGTGAGCAATGCGAAAATCACATGCAGCTGACTGAATTTCACGTCTCTGGTATTCCCTTCCAAACCATGAATCAAACAAACAAGACTTGTTATGTGATGCTTTGAGAAGACCCCTTAAGACCACAATGGTGATCGTTGAATCGAGATAACAACTACAAAACGTAACGCTTGAAACTCGGCGTGGTGTTTTCATGCGAGTAGTAAGCAACCACTGGATCTCGTTATGGACATTCTCGATTGTTGGTACAGGAAGTCTCCCTTCAGGACCTCAGCAAAATTCAAACCTAGCCCGTGCATGCATAGGGGACGTGGCGGTGCTAGCGAACCCAGAAGTGGAGAATACTGCAGCGATGAATCAACGGAAGCTCTCCCATTAAATCCGGAAAATCGGACACCGTCTGTTAGTGAGCTAATCAAAGATAGTACTGGAGATTTCACCTCTTTGTTAAAAGCCAGTCTGGATAACAATTTGTTGAAAATATATTCCATTCCACCCCCTTGATTCCAGATCCGGTCTGCGGTTTCGCACCCTTCCGTGGTTCAAGCAACGCCGTTAGGCGGTCAGGCAAGATGAGCTTCTAACAGCGCTACTTGAGGACGGTGGTGCATTTTTGCTTCACCTTGTCTAGAGCGTTTGAACTTATTTTGGAACAACAGCGCGTTACAGAATCCAGCCAATCGCCAAACCTCTATTCAGAAGAGGTAAGGTAGGCAACTGTTCCAACCAACGAGGTGTCACCCTGACAAATTATATCGCGTCCATTGACATCAAGTATACTGCGGCGCCCAACCCCGTTACGTAAGACAAATCTGAAAGCGGAAAGTGGGTTGGATGTGCATTGACCAAGCTACGTTACATCAACTATTTGCGCAGTGGTTTTCCCAGGCTTCGAAAGAGCATTTGAACATGGAGACAGGTCAGCTCTTTTGCGCGTACTTGAACAGAGGGGAATACCCATATACCGATATCTCCATGGAATGCGCATTACAAAGAATCGAGGACCTGAGTATCGAAATGTCATGTAGAGAAAGACTTATGCAACTGGATCATGTGTACGGCATGTATTGTTATTTGATCACCATTAGTCTGCACACTGTATTTTACATAGAATCCGCAGGCACATGACAAACTTCATCTGGGAAATGATGGCATGCTCGCTACCAGGATCGGTTACTTGCCATATTCTGTAAGATTAGCAGCCTTGTTCAAGGCAAATCACGTGAGTACCAGCAGAAAAGAACACGGAGATTCCATATCATCTAGTTTGACTACATCCGCTTTCATTTCACACCAGTAGACCAAGACCTATTCTCTGCGAACCTTTCACGAACGGTAGTTTGGACCAGAAAAGAACTTGTTTGGTTTGACGCTGGCCGAACGTGCCTAGTCTGACTCAACCACTTTAAACCGATAACTTGCTTTCTGTTCCGGCCATCCTAATGTTATCGATACTGCCCTTGGGTTGCAAACACGCAGCAGTCAGCTACCACGCGGGGCAATCGTAAACTACTGTTGAGAAAGAATACAAGTAAACATCCAAGCCAATGTAGATTTCAGGCGCACTCCTTTACTGCAGTTATACGGCAGGACAGACCCTGGAGGCGAGTAAAGATTGTCGCAAAACGTCGGTAAAGTGATCTTGAATAATATTTCTGAGGTTTTTGAAATGGTTTTTGGGTCACTTGCACTAAGTTGAATATGAACAGAGATCCCAGTGAGAGCGTCTCCAAACAGAGGTGGGAACAAGAAAAAAGCACACATCGTTAGGAGACCCAATTCATACCACGAAGTAACCCAGTCAAGTTGCATTGAATTAACAGCCGAAGCTTGTGTAAAATTCAGTACGCCTCCATAACCAAAGAATCCTGGATATTCTGTTCACAGCTTTCGTGACCTGTTTAATACACTGACGTCGGATCTGCAAGGAGTCCAACGCCTTTGTATTTGCTACCTGATTACTGTATATGTGTATTCATAGTATTCGTCTGGAGATGGGGTGCGACTACATGCTTCCTCCTCCTGCACTGGAGTCATATTCCCGACTTCCAAGTACTCTAGCTTGAATTCAACACACCAGTCATCATGTAATATTTTCCCGGTGTTTATCGGTGATCCGTATTCTCGTTGTTGGACGTTTACTGTGAATAATTCGGCCCGGACCCACTTTAGACCTTCAGCGAAACCGGTGTCCACATTGAAAACTGGTCCTTCTTTCAGAAGGGCTCAGTAAACAACCCGTAATTTTTCACTGAAGAATAAATCAGTAAGACCTTTTCAGATTGGTACACTAGATCAGTGCTGAATGGCACTTAAAGAATCTTGTCGGTTAGTTTGGTTGGTTGATGAGTTGGAGGGGGAGGTGGTCAAATTATTTTTGACTGCGTTTGGTTCCTTAATCCTCTGGTTTAAGATGCTTCAACTGATGATTCACCTTGGGTGCCACTGATGTATATTCAGTGAACGATGCTTGAAATTCAACTCAGTCCCCACGTCTTCACTAGTTAGACCACCGGATACGTCACTCGCTTCTTCTCAGCAACAAAGTCACTCCTCAAAAAGAGGACCTACTTGACTACCGTTACCACACATGTCGACTCAACGAAAACCTTCAGACTGTGCACACTTTCGTAGACTTACAGTTACTCGAAACCAAAGCGACAGAAGTGAGAACCATCCAAGGATAACACTGGGAAGAGAAGCAAACAAGCAAGTTCGAATAGTTACCTTCTACTATTCAGCTTTCTAACGAGCTCTCAAAGAAACATGAGCCAACAACTAGCTATTTTAACTAACTAATTTATCAAGTAGACTGCTAAGTGAGGAAGAGCGTTGCCTGCTGGAGAAGGGCTTAGATTTTGCANCTAAAAGGGCATGAGGGCGGAAGAAGTAATCCCTAGCGTTAAACCTGTGTTTCAACAAGTTCCTACAATGTGGCGGAGCTACGAGTACAGCTGGTCACAGTCCTTCAGTCCCAGTAGCCAGGAGCTCCAAATATTGTATCAGCACACTGGAGAGCGTTTAACACCCCAAAACCGGTGAACAGCATAGTGATTACAAAGGCGGATAAGGGTATGGCCTGTGTTGTCACGAACAACAGTGATTACCTACAAAACTCCAAGCAACACTTAGTTGAGGGTCTTTACCGGCAGATCGATAGTGGGAATATTACGTCTATAGTGAACAGGAATAAACCTGAAGTTGGTAGATATTTGCGGTGGGTGATAAACGACGTAGAGTCATCATCATTATCATCGACAGCATGACGTCAGTGTTCAACACCGATGCTTCACTGACGTAGAGTCAGGTAATTGGTATCGACTTTACCCCTCAAAAGTGCAATCCAACGACGGCTTTACGGCCTGCCGAAAATCCATAACCCAGATGTTTGGGTGAGACAGACAGTAGACGGAATAGGTTCCCAATCCTATGAGCTGGCCACATTTTTGGCAGGTATTCCAAAGCCCCTCACCGGAAAATTTATGTGACTGCCAAAAATGTAGCGGATGTTACCGCAGAACAAGATGACATTCTTGTAAGTTTCTGTCAATTCGTAATACACAAATGTGCCAAACAGGGACTGCTGCTAGCATACACCACTCTTTGGGAACGGAAAAAACCTACGATAGATGAAATATTGGAAGGGATAAAAATATGCCTGAATTTCACCCACTTCGTTTTTGACACTGCGGTTAACATCTAAAAACAAGGTCTTGCAATAGGATCTCAAATATCCCCAGTTTTGGCAAATATTTCTATGGAAAATCTTGAACAGAAACCGTTAGTCAGATTCCTGTGCCCACCCAATATATTTTGGCGTTCTTTAGATGATACTTTCGTCGCGATGAATGGAGACAAGGTCAACGGGTTTTACATCTACCTGAATGACCTGAAACCATACATCAAATTTAATATGGAGATAGAGTCAACTTCGGGTGCACTAGACTTCCTAAACTGCATAAGGTCGAGGGGGAACTGAGGACCACAGTGTACGAAAAGCCAACGAACACTGGGGTAATTTTGAACCACGTGTTTGCCCATCCGAAATCAGTATTCGCTAATATTTCCTCATCAATGTTTGGACGTGTGAGGATCGTGTGCATAGAAGACAGCGGCCCAAATTGAGGTGAAGAACAAACTTCGGGGTAGTGAATATCCAGTTAGTTTGATTAGGTGTCAACTGCAAGGGTTGTTGGTACCGGTTGCGAAACCCAACGAGAAATGGATTGAGACTGTGGTCATACCAAATAAACCAGGGATGCCAGAAGTCATTCGAAAGATTGTAAACACGGCTAACGTAAAAGTAGCATTCCAGAAGGAAAACACTGCGCTGATGCAACTGAAGCATTATCTCCCGATGAACAAAACCAGGGACCGTATCCACAAAATAAAGCGTAACAACTGCACTAATGTCTACATAGAGCAGACGGCCAGGGAACTTCACATCAGGAAAACGGGCCGCTGAGAAACGCATATGAATATCCCACATCACTGAAAGAGCCAACAGTGGCGGGTCATGCACCATACACAGGACAAATAATAGATCTAGAAATTTTTCATAGAGGAAACTACTCATAAGGTTGCTGAAAACTTCGAAAAACGTGTGAGTAGTTTCCTTTACAGAAATATCCAGCGATATCTCGAATATCGTACCAAAAGGAATATGAGGCGGCCTTTGTGCAGCACATTCAGTTGAAGAATATCATAAACAAGAGATTCAAAAGTCTCCTGTGTAAACCCAGTTGTCATGCAAATGAGTTTATTGGTCGACATTTAGAGGAAATTACCACGGTACACATCAAAGAGACTGATAGGCGAGACCGTGGAAACCGGCAAGCATCCCAGTGCAAATAAAATAGAAGGCGTAGAACTGGCAACTGTGTGGCGAACGGTTTTAGATGTCGAGTTGACACATTGCGGTGTGTGACTATCAGAAAGAAGAGTCATCAACAGGAGTAGCTTAGACCTGAAGTGCACTTAATCTCATCCGCCCGCCAACTAAATTGTCATAGCACTTACAAGCGCACACAGACAAACAAAATTTACCAGTGGAAGCCAAGGTGGGCTGAAACGCACCGAACCTGAAGAATAAGGAACCAAACCCGAACAAAAATAATTTGAACAACCCCCCCTCCCCCCAGCTCATCAACTGGAAGATTTAGGCAACCACACTAGCCGACAAGATCCCTTAGCTGACATTCTACACTGATCTAGCGTGCCAATCTGAAGAGCTCTTACTGACTTATTCTCCGTTTGCCTTAAAACCTGGCCACGTTGATGACCTGCTCAATTGGCCTGATGAAGATTTTGTGTCAAAAGCGAAACGTTGCCCAGTTAAAAAATACTAGTTGTTTACCGAACCCATCTGAAAAGATGACTCCTTAATCAGTTCCAAAAATTTTTCTAACTGATTGGGTACCGATTCCCCTGTTCATTTTATACAGATCATACAAGCTTTAGAGAAAGCCATATCACCCACCCTGTTTGCTTTCGAAGCCAAGTATCTGACAACGGTCGCAATGTTTACACTGTTATCTTCCATTCATCAGGTTTTATTGCAACCTTTGTCCCTTATTTCTTTAAGCCGTTTCCTCATTCATTTCCCCCATTTGCGCTCTATGTCAAAACCCACTCGGCTTCCATCATATACTATGGCGATACTCTTTCGCTGATTGAAGTGGTATGTCAATTTTGTAGCAGTTTTACCATCAAATGGTTTTTCGCATGAAACACCCAGTGTTTTTCTGATTCGACCCTCATTTTTCAAGCCAGGAAGGCGATCACCTCCGAGCGGGTATCAAGGAAAAATGAACTGCAGGTGTACTGGTGGATACACTCTCGTCCCTCAACATGAGCAAAAAACCTGTCTGTCGATGCGGTTTGAGATAAATTCACCACACATAAGACAGCCTAACAATTGATCGCACTAACAGAGCCTATTTTTAGCTCACCAGCTTGGTCGCAAATTTTTCCCTCACTCCCTCCCACGAAGTATGGTGATGGCGACGGTGATAATGGCATCATTAATGAAGGCATTGAATTTACAAAAATATATGATTAGCATCAGTCCGTTTCCACATAACTCATTTCTTCTGTCGTCGAATCATTAGTTCTCAGATGTTTATTCGTTTCTGTCTTCTTCTGTTTAAACCTGACCAGTTTCTCGTCCACACTCATTTCGACTTGTCTCTTGAGAATTGGCCTATGCGTTCCTTTAGCAAGAGATGGGTTTTCCCTCCAACGACCTTCGGGGATGATTCGATCCAAATAGGATAGAGGGTGTGGTTCGATCTTGAAGCGTTCTGTTCAAAACACGGAAAACAATGTAGGTGTATACATAAGTGATCGTTCCTAAAGAGTATTTGAGATACCGTGAACTGTTTTCTGAACACTGTTAGGTTCCTCAGTCACTCTTTGGGCCGACTTTTCTTCTGAATGGAATGGAATGCAACGCTTAAACATGGATCCGTGTTATGCGGCATGAGCTGGATAGTCGTCAAACGATGTAGAGGTCACGACCGATCACAGTGGGCTATCCAAATGAAAAGTAGACTAATGGAAATATTGGCGTAGGTTCTCTGTATCGCCTGAAAGATAACTTCGTTTTGAGGAGCTTTGTGAGTGTGTAATAAAGCGTTTCACCTCACCTGTGATTGAACAGCTAGATAACAAACAAGTTTGTACGACCCTGAAGCATACTTTCAACGGACGAGAATCTTTCACTTACCTCGCACTAGATCACAGGACGAGGTGATTCATCATGAATGTTCAACTTCACACAACAACAGGAACGTTCGCGATTACTAGAAATTCGAAGTTATGTTGCGGTACTTCATCCTGTACACTGGTCCCATTACATTCGATCTGGATTGCAACTGTGGTCTGATTTAAAGTACAGCGCTGTGCGGCCAGGGATAGGAGTCCTCTGATTCTGAGGAACAATTTAGCAGCAGCCAACCAGCATCAAATCAACCGTTTAACGCGATAGCCCGTTAGTGGATACGGGTTAACGGCACACCAATTTTCATTGGGTGAAAATCAGCCATTTCAGGGACTAGATAGTCCCACCTCTTAGGTGTTGGTGGATTTACTTCCCAAGAGTGGATCACAGAAGTATTTGCTATTGAAGAGTTTCCTTCCGTAAAATGATTATTGTACCAGAGAAGCTTTTACCTTGGATGCTAAGGTTTATGTACACGTGAAAATCACGATATAGACAGGTGCGGTAGGTGAAATCTCACGCCACTGCCCTAAATTAGAGAAACGCGCACACTAAATCTTCTTGCCTTCAGATGACTACCTCCTGAGACAGGATCAGCGAGCTCCAAATCGCCGTCGTAGTTTAGTCTGGCTTGCACCTTACATCCGTTGCTTGCAAAACAGACGATGCCACGGATCGACCGACAGGCTGCGCTTATATCCTGGTAAAAAAAATTGCATTGGTCAGGAAATCGAAACAAGCGCAAGGTGCACGTGGGTCTTCAACACAGCACATGATGAGATTCGGTTTCACCAACTTCAGTCTTCACTTCTATCTAGCGAGGCGACTTCCTCGCACGTTGAGGACGTTAGTAACCAGGCGACAGCCGAGATGTCGTGACCCTAACAGCGTGACAAACTCCATATATCCGAATAACGCGTTCCAGTTCAGTTAACTTATTTAGCTATCAAGAAGTTCCCAATGAGTATAAAACACTCTACTCTGTTAGCACTGTGACAAACAGCCATAAGCACATAAAACCCAACTCACCTTCGACATGATCAAGTAATACCTTCGACGTCCTAGCTCTGGCAGAGAAACGAAAAGTGGCAAGATTAAATGAAGAATAGACGTACCGTATCGCATGTTCGGACCATAACTTCTGAAAATGCCGAACCAATTCAAATCGGGCAGCTACAAATTGCAAGGGAACGTCAGAAGCAATCGGTCATGTTTGGATAGAAAATAGAGGACTCCGTGCATCCTGCTAAATGGATCTATGCCAGGAGGCTAATGAACGTTGTGCATTGTGTTCAACTGAAATGTACGGACGCTGAAGGTTAGATGAGATTTGTTAATGTGATGAGATCAACCGATGTCAGGATGCCCTTGACCCCAACACAGCTATTCTATCAAAACCGCTCTCGCAGATATTACTACCGACACAGACATCGAGCTAACCGTGGATGCGTCAAATCAAATAGCGCAAAACAGGTTAACGGCAGTTCGATAACTCATCTGGCCCAAACCCCAAAAAGACAGGCAAAATAGAGCAAAAGAAATAAGCAGGTTCAAGCGTGCTAAAACGTTCACCGAAGGTGTGTGAAACCTGCGGAAGAGTATCGCAATCGCCTCAGCAGAGGTTGGAACCTCCGGTCTAATGGGTTTGGACATGGTTAATGGTTAACCATAACCCCATCACCATCATCATCGTCAGCTGTAATAACCGCGTACTCATCGTACAGTGGTTGCAGCTGCCGCAGTTTCGTTCACCGATGATTTGGGGGG